GAGCTAATGCCTGCTCTGTGCACACGGATGAGGGGGAGGAGGAGACACGCTGACTCGCTAGCTCACCCCGTGACGAGAGCTGTGGTACAGCCCGTTGTCTTCCCAGGACAATGCACAGCTCCCAACTCCCAGGGGGGCTCCGCTTGGCACAGACAATGGAAGTGGGCCCATGGCACACCCCGGGACTCTGCCGGCAGGTCTTCACTGCCTTCCCTGCAACACCGAACCTTCTTCCTGGGGCCTTGCACAGCATCTCGCCCCATCCCATCAGGGTCCCATCTGTCTGTAGAGCGATGACATCCCCTCCGCGGGCTGACATCCCAGCCTTCTGTTGCGCTGAGCTTCTGACTGTCCTGGTGCCAGATGGCTTCGGAGGCAGATGACTTCATCTCTTTTAAAGGGGCAAGGGATCTGTCAGCAGTGCCCTGTAGGAATCAGCGTGCATCATCCTTGGTGAAAAGCCAACGAGGGGAGCGTGCTGCAGCAGTCGATATTACCCCACAAAGGGCCCAAAGAGACTTGGATTCCAGTCCAACACTGCCAACAATCTCAAGTACTTCACTCTTAGTCATCTGTTGCATTTGATCTGTCCCACACAACAGCCTTGTGGAGTGGGGGACCTGACTCAGCATGAGCTCCATGGGCTAAGGGCAGGGACTACACGGCATTCAGCCTCACAAAGGTGACTTACAGGAGCCTACACTGAGTGTAGGAGAGACCAGAGGACCAGCACCAGTCTCTATTCCCAAAACTAAGTATGATGGGTGGCCTGAGTCAAATCTACTCATCAGTGGACTCCTGTTGGACCTCAGGCAAGGATAACCTGGAGCTGGTCTATGGAAATCCCAGTTCAAATTTGCATTAAGTATAAAGGATGAGTACCAGAGTGAGAATTGGGTTTGCGATTCAGGGGGTTTTATTACCCCTGGGAGAGTCCACTGGAAAGGGAGAGATAGATCCACGCTCTGCCCCTTGGGAGATTCCAAGGAGATGACAGATGCAACCAAGATATCCCCCTCGAAACAGCACCCCCCTCGTTCCCCCATGGATAATGCCTGTAGGGCAGTTTGCAGCTCCATGGGAATGATCCTGACTCACTGGAGCAGCTCAGGGAGGGCTACCATCAGCGCTGGTCAAGGAGGCTGCAGTACAGACACAGCACAGGGAGCCGATCCCTACACAGGGCTGGATCCTCCCCGCCCCCAGCACATGCTCACGCTTGTTGGGGAAAACGCTGCCGCCGTTCCAGGCAGATAATCTCCCCTTCCCTTGCAAGTCCCTGCACGTTCCCATGCAAACATACCCACAGAGCAGTGCGGTGCAGCAGATGCTGGGGCTGAAGGGCCAGACACACAGACCAGCTCTAATTTTTGCAAAGGGGAAACCGAAGTTGTTTGTCCCCGAGGGAGGTAACTCACAGATCCCAGCACACTCCTGAGTGGACATTTGCTGTAGATTTGGAGGTGGACTGATATATCAAGTCATGCACCATGGGATAGCAATGGGAGCTGGGATTGCTTAGGAAGTGCCCACCAGGAGTCTGGCTGCCCACTCTCAACACAACAGCTGAAGCATTCCAAATACTGGGTGGGCCAGCTTGCCCAAAGGGTGCCAGACCCTCAGGAGGGATGATCAAGGGGGTCACCCCATCATGTCTGTTTCTGAGGGCAGAAGGGTTTGGAGAAACAATCCAGTGCCACATCTCAACAGCACTGCCCTGACCTCCAGGTCCATGGAGGCAACACCCCAGTGGGGTCAGTTACAAGCGCTGGCCAGGAAGGGCACATGTTTAGGAGAATAAGCTGGAAGATGGGCCTGCAGGCATGTCTTCAGGAGGCAGGCAGGTCTGGTCCCCAGGGCAGTGAGTAGGTACAGCCATTGGCAGGGAGGCCCCTATAAGTATTTCTTGTTAGTCCAGAGAGGCCCATGGTGATTTCCCTACCCCAGCCTGAACATGCTGCCTCACTGCAAAACTTTGTGTGCAGGTAACCCACAGCAGAACATCTTGTCTTTATCACATGGAGATCTTGGGTGGAACCAGGAAATAAAATCTCTCCCCTTGATTAGGGAGAAAAGAGCACCCTTGCCAGCCAAGTGATGGAGCTCTGGCATTTCCTGCACCCTGGAAAAGGTCCCATTGCATCTGATGGCATGAGATCCTGACAGTGGGACACAGTGGCATGAAATGTTGACACCAGCTTAGGGAGCTTTTGTTGGCTTGTTTGACTGACTGCCTGAGCAGTGTGAAGAAGGACTCAGGGCAAAGCCAGGCATCATGCACAGCTCCATCTTCTTTCTTTCCTCCTGGCACAGTTCCCTAAGCCAGGCCAATCCTCTCTGCTTGCAACCACAGGTAATTCTGCAACCCACCCCTTTCTGCAGGAGCAGGAGTTGCTTGTTGGGATAAACACAACACTTTTTTTCCCAACCCAGCCTGACTTCAAGTTAAGCAGGAAAGCTAAGGAGGCAGAGCTAGAAAGTTTTCACCAGTCCCAGGCTCTCGCCCACCACTGATACAGAATTAACAGCTTCTCTGGACCTCTGGAGAAGTTCTTGTGTGCTTTCTGTCCTTCCTGGATCATTGGGATAGTAACCGATCCCAATGGGCCCTAAGAGACCATGTTTGCCTTTGTACGGAAGGCAAGAGTCCATCTTAGTGTCCTAGCTAACTATTAATATGATATGAGGATTTTGGGGTCTCTTCCCCATAGCTAGATTGCTGCTCACCCCACTGTCGTGATTTATTAGGAAAGGCAACATTTCTTATTATTAAACCATCTGGTACATTTGGTATTGTCTTGCCTTGCTGAGATCAGCACTAGCTGAGGGTTCACACCTTGCTACACCGGATGAGACCAAGTCCCTGAATCCAGTATCTCCAGGAGTCCTCACTGCTCCAGACACAAGCAAAAGGAACAAGGCACCCGGCCAGTTGTGAAAGGCTCCAAACACAGGGAAATGCTGGTTCTTGTAGCAATCAGCTGATGCCCTGAAGCCAGAGGTTTGCTCACTTGTACCTTGGTATGTCTAAATATAATACAAGTATTGTTCCGAGCTCTGCGTCAGCCCCACTGAAATCCAGCCACCAGTACCTGATTTTCTCGCCTTCCATGGCTGCAAGACACGCAGCTGCATGAAGGAACTTTTCCTTTCATTCCTCCCAAAAGTGCCTCCCATTGCCATCAGTGACTAATCACCTGGCCTCCTCTCATGAGACATCTTAAAGAAGAGCTGATTTGCAATATCAAAGTACTATTACCTCTACTGTCACTTTCAGATTCCTCAAAACTTCACTGCATGTTCCCCTACAAATCATCTGAATAAACCAGCTGGAAAAATGGACAAGCTGCAAGTGTAAATCCAACTGGATTTCTGCCTTCTTCCCATTCAATTCATTCAATTCAAACTATTTCTTGGCCTTAACGGGCTTGAAATCATTTTCCAAGTGGAGTTAGGATGCTGTGAGCAGAGCACCCAACATAAACACTAGCACAAAAGCTAGCAGAGTTCCCAACCCTGCACTGTCCCGTGGTGATCCCAGGGAGATCATGCAGTCTCAACACACTGTGCACATTTCCTCTCTCATTCCTGGTACAAACTGTTTCCTAGATTTAATCTAAATTCCTGACCAATTTTGATTCCAGCAAAACTGCATTTTCTGATGAATTTACCATATTACTCTCACTCGCCTCCACCAACAACCCTAAACAGTCCAATACATCATGGGTCAACTTCTTCACATCTTTTTGGATTTGCACCATGAAATCATGTGGCATTGTGTGATTTCATTTGATAGCATCTAGTTTGAGACAGGTTTCAGTTGAGGCTGTATGTGTGGCCAGAAGATCCATAGCCTGCTGTCCCAGGGTATTTCTAGTGACCAGTAAGATGCAGGTTTGCAGAAACCACTCCTCCTCAAACGGGATATTAATGGGCTCTGTCTCTCTTCTCCACTCACTCCTGTGCTCACTGTCATCAATGTCCCCTGTGTGGAGCCTCACAAGGAGCAGCTGGGCACCTATGCAGTTTAAAGTTTAAATTGTCCAGTTTCCATAGTCTTTACCTGGTTTTGTTTTCCTAAAACCATACAGAAAGCTTTCTGGTAATTTCCTCTGCAAAAACACAATGGAGGCAGAGGAAACTTCACCTAAACCTGAACAGATACATACCCCTGTATCTGTTCAAACCTCTTTGTAATCCAAAGGGGGTATGTTAGCATTTACTGGGGGTTGGGATGGAAAGAGGAGGGGAGAGGGAAGGAGACTGGAACAAAAGGGACTGAAGCTACCCTCATCAGGGTCCATGTCGTTTCACTTTGGTCCAGCCCTGAAGAACACCCCCAGAGTCAGGATGCTCTTTCTGTACCAAGAAAAACCCCCCAAAGCTCCCATGCATTGTTTGGTCTCCTATGCTGCCATCTCCCCTGGCTGCCTCCTTCTCTTTTCTCTGCCTCCCACCTTTTCAGGACAGGGACCACCTTTTCATCCTCTGCCTGTGCAGCACTGAGCACCCTGGGGCTTATTGGCGGCAGCAGGGGTTTCTGGGGGCTCCCCCAACACAAACAACAACAACCTTCAAAGTGCCTCTCCTCACGCAGCTGCTCTGAGGGCAGATTCAGGTTTCCCCCACCCCCTTCTCCCCATCCCTCCTTACAACACCCACCTGGCAGCTAGTTAAAAAACAATCTTTGGGTTTTTCAGGTGTGTTGGAGGGATTTACCTGACATATCCCACCCCCCACCCCCTTGCAGTTGAGGTCCTGGATTTCATGGCAATACTAGTTAATCTAACAGTGAAAAGCTCTGCAATTATTTGGCTCTAAGGCTTGGGTCCTTGCCCAGCTCTGACAGACACACGCGCGCACACACAACTTCACTTCTCCAGCGAGGGAGAGGGCGATGCCTCTCCTCTTCCTCCACCTCCAGCCCGTCACGGAAGGGCTGGTTCTTCAGCGAGGGAGTTCCACCCCCTGCAACTTTCTCCCTTGCTGCTCCCGACCGGTGCTGCCGGAGTTTCAGCCAGGAAAATCCCTTCTTGCAGGAGTTTGTCGGAGCCCTCTCCTCTGATCTGCAAGCACCATGGACCCCCAGCAGCCAGCCACGTGCTGCTGCGGGAGAGGATTTTCGGCGGAGGGAGCAGAGAGGCAGTAAACTTCAGGAGAGGTCTCTCCTGTTGCAACAGGTAAGGCACGCTGCTCGCCGGTGTGGGAAGTTGAAATGACTCAGGGAGCAGTCTGTACAGCATGGATGGAGGGAGGCATGGAGGATGCAGAGATTTAGTCATGAAACTTCTTTTGCATGTGAGTAACTTTTGCTGGAAACAGCCTTATCCTACAGAGAGAGCTTTGGGATGCAGAGGGAGAGCCCTTCACCTCTTCCTTCCTTCTGGCAGCCCTAGTATGGGAGGTTATGGAAGGAGTCTGGAAAAGCTTCATCCGTGTTTGCACTGAGTTTGCATCTGGTCTTAGCTGGGAATCTTTAGCAGGCTGCAGCCAGTGCAAGCAGGTGGGCTCCAGGTATCAAAGGCAAAAGTGACGCTGCAGAGCAAGGCAGGTGTGGAGGGGTTGAAGAGAGAAGCACTCCAGGTGTCTGAACGGGGCAGGATTTCTGCAGGGAGCAAGCTTATGCTGGAAGAAATGGATGAGCTGGGGCAGGAGCACTGATGGCGTCCGGCTGTAGGCTCAGCTGTTGGCCATGCACAGCCTCACTTACCGGGGTGAGGCAATACTGCTCCAAGCTCTGTCCCCGCATTCCCCATTAAGCTGCTTCCAGTGTCACCTGGAATTGAGCTGTGTCTTGGGGATCCCTGAGTGTAGTCACAGTGCTGGCATTTCCCTGCATGCGCAGGTGAGAGCTCCTTGCCTACCCTTGTCCCTCTTAGGGGGGACAGGCAGCAGAGCTGGGGAGCTGAAGCCAGAGCCACCGGCCCCACTTCACGTGGGAGCGCCTGTAAACGTGTGTGTGTTTGTATCTTGTCACCTTTGTTCGCTATCAGGTGCCTTATGACAAAATAAGATGGAATCCCAGAGCAAGCCTAGTCTCAGTTCAGGGCACGGAGGAATTGTTTCCTATGTACATGTACAGCACTGAGAAGAGGTGGAAATACAGGGAGGGAGGCTTGGGCACTTGGAGCCAACAGTGCCCTTCCAAACTGCAGTTATCAGCTAATCAGCCTCCCGGGGAATTAAAGGCAGACTCGGTGGAGCACAGCACTCCAGAGGGGCAAAGATCAGCTGTTACACGACAGGGGTTGCTTCGGGGAAAACCCTTAAAAGAAGCTGTTGCTCCTTTGGGTTTGAGGCTGCAAAGGGCTGAGAGTTTCCAGGATGTATGGAAACTCAGCTTGTGTGGTGGCTGGAGCTGGGCAGGCTCTACTGGGCAAGCAGGGCTGTGGACAACAGGGCTTTGCCCAGGATCCAGACAGTAGGACTTGGACCTCTCTGCTTCCTCTGTTCCAGCACTCAGAGGGGCAAAGAGCGGGCAGGGGATGTGTAGGGAGCTGCCACAGCTCTCCAGGCTGTCAGCTAGACAGACCTGGGAGGTTATCAGAGCCTTGGGATGGAAAGCAAACAGTCTGTATGGGGCTCCTGAGGAAGGCTGGGCTGTCTCGGTATTCGGGACAGCAAAGTCACTGGGCTTGGTATTGTGTACCCTTATCATCTCCTAATATGCAGCACACCTCCCCTCACCGGGAACAGTTCAGGGACATCCACCTGTCTGATAAGGGGTTGGGGTTCCTGAGGGTCTGAGCAGGGTCTCTAACCCAGCCAGGGAGTTGAATCTCTCCTCCTCCCCATCTGCCTGTTGTGCTCTAACATGGTCCATAACGTTCCAAAAGTGAGCCCAACTGCCCTGCCTGCCGAGGGGAGAGCGCAGCAGGATCTGCCGTTCTCCCGAGCCTTTCCTTTAGCTACAGCTCACACCACGGATGTATTTCAGATCCCAGTGTTCTCAAACGGGTGCATCTCTCAGCCCTCCAAACAAACAAGCATCATTCATGTACGAAGGGAGAGTTCAAAGGAGGCATAACACCTGGAATCAAACATCTGTTAGAAACTAATGCATTTTGCATCCTGTGCTCCTGCCAACTGCTCCAAGGCAAGTCCTAGAGGATCGTTCCAGCTACCTCCATGCTGCAGCAATGGCATTCCCTGCTCCCTGCACCTCGCTTTGTTTTTTGCCACGTGTGGAGTATGTGAGTGCAGTTGCACCTTGAGCAGCAGTGGGCTTCCTTCTGTATCGTGGACAAACATAAGGGGATCAAATACCCCTTAGTTCTTTTTATTTTTTCTAAACTGGGTTGGCAACACTGATGCTCCGTTGTCTGTTAAAAAGGTGATTTGCTGAGCAAGCAATTTTACCTTTAACCACACTTTCTCCTTGGCAATGGGGCAGGTACTGGTTTATTAGCAAAGAAACTTTCTTCCCTAATTCTTGGAAGTAGGAGCTCTGGGGAGGAGCAGGGTGCAAGGGCTGCTTGGAAGGTTGTAGCTCAGAAACGAACAGCAAGCAGTAGAGTTGAAACAAACTAAAGGAAGAGGGCATACTGGAACCAATTGCCACAGGATATTGCAGAGGCCAAAAGTGTATTTGGCTTCAAACAAGGTTTTGATTCATTTGGGACGGATAGCTCCAGTGGAAGTTAGTAAATGCAACAGCCCAAGAACAACCATGTACTTGCATTGATGCTGAAAAGTGGGAGAAGGAGCAAGTTACACATGCCTTGTTTCTTATGCTCCCCCACTACGCAATCAAAACTGGCCATTTTGGGAGAGACAATACAGAGAGATGGCCAAGCATGGCTGTTTTGATGCTCTTACCTTGTGGGACTATTTTGGACTGACTAGGTTGCACCTTGGATAGATGCTGTGAGTCAGGCAGCCTGGTTATGCCATGAATAGATACTCCATATGGCTCAGGTTGACAGGGACATTGTGTGCCCAGCCTGGTTGTCACAGGTGCTCCAAGCAGTGTCCATGCACAGCTGCTGATTCCACAGAGGTGCTGCACTGGCAGGAGCTTTCAGAAATGTGTTTCCAGCAATGTCCAGAGCAGGAGGTATTGACTTGTACTGGGAGCATAATGAGCGCTGACAAGGACACATTGTGGCATTGAGACCAGCCTGGGCAAACATGCCTGTCCAGGGGGTTAATGTTTTCTCCAGTGAAACCCTAAGCTCCCTAGGTCAGGGGCTGGCCTTGCGTCAGCTTGTCTGACAGTGTGGACACACAGCACAGGAGGTGAGCTGCTGCTGTAGGCAGGTCTGAGAGCTGAAGGTTTTCTATCAGCTTGCAGGTATCTCTTTGCATTCAATAAATATCTGCTGCAGGGAATTTCTGTGGCACAGCTGCTGGCGTCCTGGACAGCCACCCTTTTACAAGGGAGGATCATTCCCCGATTGTCTCATTCATTCTCTGCGTCCTTACGGTGCCTCCAAACACAGGAAAGGGACGGGAGGGAGCAGTGCAAGGCAGACAGATGGCAACAGAGCGAGAGCGACTGCAGGCAGAGCTGAAAGCTGTTCTCCGTGCTCGCCTTCGGGCACCAGAAGGGAAAGACCAGCAGGGTGCTGGGCAGGGGAACGAGAAGATCGTGGTATCAGTGCAGGGACAGGTCTGTGGATGAATGAGGACTACCTGGTAGGAGAGAAAAGGTGAGAGGGGAGGCACGGTGGCCAGGGCTGTGCTGCAGGGCGGGCAGAAGCTGAGCAGTCTGTGTCCTGCTGGGTGCTGGGGCTCCTCACTTGCATCCAGCGGGGCACAAGGTCCCTCACACAGCTCTTCATGCCAAGATGCTCTCGGGCTCCTTCCCAACAAATTTTATGACTTGTAGGATGACATGCATGTTCCCCACAGGGAATCACAGAAAGGGCATCAGAGGACTACCAGCACTCAGGTGATGAGGCCAGTGTCCTCATTACAACCATCCAGGTTGAGTTAAGGTGAGGATGGGAACTCACACGGTCAGACAGCTCAGGGTCAGAGCCCTTTCAACACTGGACAGAGCTGCTTCTCTCTCCAGGCTGGGGTAAACTGAGCCCAGTTTGGATTCACAGCTCTGGTGGGAGTTGTGTGTTGGGGCCTCAGAAAAATCTCACAGGCTTTGCAGCACCTAAATAAACAGCTGTTTTGCGAGCAGCAGAATTCATGAAGCTTGGTTGCCTGGGGCGCTCCCTCTTGTGTGGATTCTCTGATGTCTAATAATCGGGTTGGGCTCACATTAGAGCCTTTTCTTCCAGCTGGGAGTCCTAATTTGGATTTCTCTCCTCTCTCTTGCTACTTTTCACAAGCTTGTGCAAACCTAACTCCTTTCAAGTCTTTACGTATCTGGTTAAATTCGGCTAAAACTGGCCAGTGGATCCAAAACTAGCAAGGAGGATTGACAATGTGGTCCCACAAACCAGCTTCTCTCAGCAGTCTGCAGACAGGGCAATGATTATCAGTGCAAGATAACTTGCATCCCAAGCGTAAGGAAAATGTGAAAGACTCGGTATGCAAGAAAGGGCCCAGGATTCCTTGTGGGCTCTCACATCCTGATGGTCATGGCACACCTGCTGGGCCAGCTAGTTTGCAGTGACCAACGTATGTGGTCCTTGGTGCTAACAACCTCTGTGGGAGCTGAATCACAGGGTGAGAGGTGCACAGTCCCAGCAGCAGCAGCAGCAGAGTTGGGGCACGCTCACGTGAATACCTGACACGCTCCAGCTGGCTCTCGTGCCAACATGTTTGGGCAGCTGCACTGTGATGCCCAACCCCAGGGCCCCTCACACCCTGCCTGTTGAGCAGCTCCTGCCAAGCCCCCTTCCCACTGGTACTACCCTGCTCCAGCCCCCAGGGCTGTTTCTCATCCCAGGCAGCCAGTAACCGTTCCCATGAGAGCCACCAGTGGGATCTGCTGTTTCCTCTGCATCTCTAGGCTGTCTTAGCAGCTGTCCTTGTCCATCCCTCAACACCTCCCTGCTTACCTGTGCAGTGGCAGCTTCTGGATCACAGGCAGGATTTACCCCATTGCTACTGAAGAGAGCGGAGGAAGGGGATTAGGAGTCATGTGTATGGATGCTTCCCCTGCCCTTGGCACAAGCAAGTCCACCTCCCTGATGTCACACTTTCCCTGGAACAGGAACCAGGAGCAAGGCAGTTGGCACTGCAAGGTTCCCTAGACACACCTCCACAGCTCTGGAGC